ATGACAGTTTCAAGTGTCCAAAGGTTTGGAGATCGACTCCACAAACCTCTACCCTCTCCCATACTTCTAGTAGACTAAAGAAGGGTGGGCGTATTTCGGTGAGCTGCATTGTTGTGTGATGCACTGTTGGAAGCTTGGTGTTACACCTACCTGAGGCTGAAGTTCAAGTTACGAGTAACCACTACACCTTAGGACTATTTGATGAGGTCATTTACCCACTTCCTTCCAATAAATTAAGGAGCTGGTTCCAGTTTGTTATTGTCTCCTACATGATTTCTGGCCATGATTGCTTCCAATGGGCTCTTGTTAATTTTGAGGGATAAGGTAAAAGGTACAGCTATGCCTGTAACAGGATGTGGCTCATAGGGTTTTGACATGTCAAGGCTCCCACATTTTCTAGACAGTCTGCTCACAGATGGCTTTGAAGTTGTCAGCCTTACACGCCAGCTACCCTTTACCCTCAGGAAGATTCCTGGTACTCATTTCTTTTAGAGGCTGAGTCAACCCCAGGGCCATAGTGCAACTGGAAGGATTAGGCCAATTAAAAATTCCAATGGCCTCATCAGAAATCAAACCCATGACCTTCCAGCTTGTAGCATAGTGCCTCAAGCAACTATGCTACCATGTGCCAGTAGGTCTTAATGTAACAGTTCATAGATTTTCATTTAATGTTCAGGTTNCTGATAAATGCGGGCTGTCAGGAGGTCTGCTCTTGTCTCTGCAGTTAGTCACATTAATAGTCAAGTCTGTGTTAGAGGCGTCGATAGGCGGTTGACGTTTATACAAAAATGAAGTTCAATATTGAACAGTGTGTTTATTGTCAAAACTTTTGCAAGGAAAGAAACTTACAGAAAATGTATCCGTAAGTTTCATTGTTTTGCTGGTTCCCATAAAGTCGTGTGTATCCAAGATTGTGAAAAGGTGGCAGGCCACAGGTTCAGTGTGTGACATAAAGAAGCAATTGAAGAGGATTGTGCCGACTGAAGAAAAGGTTCAGGATATTGAGACATGACTACAGATCAGTCCTCGAAAATCGTAAAGATGCTTAGCACAAAAAACCAATGTTTCACTAGGATCTGCTTTCACAGCCACAACATTAATCAGATTTCACCCATACAAAATAACAGTTGTGCAGCAAATTCGTTTTTGCAACTGGCTGTTGTAAAATGTGCACGATGGAATCGTGGATCCACAGCTTCTGTTCATGACTGATGAAGCGTGGTTTCACGTTAGTGGCCATGTCAATGCACAAAATGTAAGAATATGGAGCAACAAAAATCCTCATGCTACACAGCAAGTGCCATTACATAGTGAAAAGGTGGGGGTGTGATGTGCTGTAGGTCCACGGTGAATCATTGGCCCCTTATTTTTCCCACAAAACTGTGAACTCAGACAGCTATGTTAATGATATACTGAATCCATTCTTCACTCAGCTAACTCCTGAAGAAAGACAATATGGGTATTTTCAGCAAGACAACGCTACAGCAACCATGGTCGCAATACAGGAAGTGTTTGAAGACAGAATAATCGGCAGGGGACTGTGACCTCCCAGATCCACAGATTTCAGTTTTTGCAATTTTTATCTTTGGGGAAACCTAAAGGGAAAAGTCTACAAGAATAATCCTCACACCATTGAACCTCAGAAGAATGACATAACATGCCTACTTGGTTCAATTACTGTGGAACAACTTCAGAAAGTGTCGCATAATTTATTTATGCGATGCAAGGCATGTTTGCAAGAAGAAGGGGGTCACTTTCAGCATCTGTTATAAAGCATGGTAAGTTTGTGTTATCATTTTACAGTATTCTTACAAATGTGTGCATGTACAGAAACTGATGTGAGGGAATCAGCAACACAACTGCATTCTCACTAGCGGGGAAGGGCACAGTAGTCGCGGAGAAACATGCCATCCACTCTACTCTAGTGAGAGTGCGCGCATTTATCAGTGCTAATGACTCATTCCACTCATTCAGCAGTTACAGCAGCAATCTCTGAGGAATGTTGTGCCCACTCAGCCCTGTTACCAGGTTTCGTCAATGACTGAATGCCATTTAGTATTCAGCTGTGTGCGGTATAGTGCATATAGTATAGTATAGTATAATTTGTTTCCAAAATTGAAAATGAAACTGAAGGGATGACATCTTGAAACAGTGTCTGACATCCAAAGGGAGTTGCAAGTGGTACTCGATAGCATTAAGGATAATGACTTCCATGGTGCTTCTGAAGTGTGGGGAAAATGATGGGATTGCTGTATACATTCCAAAGGAGACTATTTTGAAGCCAAAACTGAGTAAGTTACGCCAGCATTTCTTTTGACCTAGTATGGAAACTTTCCAATACACCTCATATTATGTAATAACTAGTTGGCATCAAAACACAAAAGTGAACCTAATTTTACATTCCCCTTATGAGTATTTTCTTTTACTGATGCTATGAAATCTTGTCACAGAAACCCTGTAATTCAGTACTCTTAGACCTAACACTAAAAGAGTCTAAATTATCAATCCCAGATGGAATGATTATCTCTGACCTTACTCCTACACTATGGAACAATAATGCAGAACCCACAGGCAACATATGGTTCACCAGTGTTAATTTTGTGGCCCACCAAAACAAATGGTACTATCAGCTAAATAGCAATTTTCATTACTCACACCAGTTGCACCACTGTGCTCCTTCCCAAATGACTGAACTCTCCAGTTCACATGAGTGGACTCACCCACTGTACCTAATCTTCCCCACCACTCACCAGTCAGACTGTGTTCAGAAGTCTTGGAAATAAATACAGATATTTCTATCATTAATATACCAATATATTAGTAATTCATCAGCTACATTCCAATTTCCATATCAACTAACAGGATAACAGGACTTGAGACACACTCTGCACGTTGTTGGATTGGCTAGTCTCCATGTTTACCAAATGTCACTCCCCTTAACTTCTGGGGATACTTCATGAAGTTATTTATCAAGAGAAACTGCAGACTCAGATGAATTTTTGTGGCACATCACGGATTGTGCTGCTTACATTTGGAACGCTCCTGTGGGCAAACAAAGGTTAACATGTAAAAAAAAGTTAATTAGTGCAGAGACAATGCTGATCATTTCAGACAGCAACTATCATAGGTAACTAAACAAAATGAAACTGCCATGTAGCAGATAAAATTACCAAATGAAATCAGTCCACAATTTTCTTTGCATTTTTTCAGCTCTTAACAATAGATTCATAACAGCTTATACAGATATTCTTTACACAAAATAATCCAACCACATTAAGTTTGGCAGATGTTTTGTAGGACAATGTACAATCCTCTTTGGAAATAAACATCAAGATTTTATAAACATGTATTGCGTCCGCATGGCATTCAATTCTGAGCAAACTCTTCAATATTCCTAGCCTACTTAATCACTTGCACCTTAAAGGAATATGCTCTTAAGCACGAATTACTTTAACAAAAAGCAAATATCAGTAATTTAAGGATTGTAAGATTTTGGTCTTCTGAGTTGTGAAATTGTGTAGACTTGTGGATGGATACCGCTGTTTTGGAGGAACATGCTGCCTCCATCGTCAGGACTGAAACATGGTGGTTCAGAAGTAAGCTTAGCTATTTGGCAAGTTACAAGGAAGGTGATAGTGGAACCAAAGGAGAGGGAACAACGAAAGAAATCCAATTCAAGGCAATGGGCAGAAATGAACAAAAAATGTCCCTTACAAGGAGCACACTCATTTATCATCATAGGTGGGAAACAGAAACAGAAAGAGGAAGAGAGGACCTGTCCAGGGATCCACCACTGTTTTCAGGAGGAAAGTCAAACTGATAAAAACGGATGCAGCAGCCCTTTTCAGAGCCACAATGAGTTTTTGTCACATGAGGGGAGTCCGGAAGCAGCTGTATTTTCTCCCATCAAGGGCCTGGGTAGAGAAGTGTTTTAGGATGAGGTGCCTGGTTTGTCCTTGGAGAGGAACTACTTTTCCTTCAGGGGGTGAATAAGGGTCCTCTATCATCTGCACAGGAAGAACCCATCCAGCCTATAAGACAGCGATCTTAATAATCACCACCCTCAAAAACCTGTACCGACAATTTAATGATTAAAATTATCACAATACATTAAGCTCCAAGACCAATAAACCGATTTTATCATTGCTCCCAAATATGCAGTGAGTCTTTAACAAAGAAAAGAAAAGTCTTCTTGCTAGCAGAACTTGCACTATGAGACATAAACACTAGTGCACAATCTAACTTTTGGTACTATCTTCATAGTTATTCCTTCAAACAAGAATAGCTTCATACAGCTGATAGGCAAGTCGTATTCATGTCTATGTAGTAGCAGTGTGTTCATTCAACCAGAAAGACATTACATGTCGATGACAGATGGAAATGCCTGAGATAATATATAATTATTGCTATTTTGGGAAATATGATTAACAACAAACATACAACTCACCTCACTTTCGGACCTCATTACTGGAAATGTCATTAGCACAGGTTCCTCTTCTGTCTTTATATTATTTGGCTGACTTCCACTTGGAGGAGATGTCAGAAATCTCTCACTATCTGTATCAGGTTCTGTGTTAACAAATTCCATTCTGCGCTGCAAGAACACATCATTTGCATCAGTATTCCTCATCTATAAGTGTTCATTAAAATCATCCTCAATAAGGCAAAATCACGTATGACTTTGTCCATAATTATACATATGATTCAGTGATTATTATGCCACATGCCGAACGACTGGGGGGTTGGAATTTTGAGACCTGGTAGGGTCAAGAATCTTCTCTCCAGTGTCCAGATCGGCTCTGGGGCTCACTTAACCTCGTCTCTAGTGGTTATCAGGGCACTTTCCCTGGGGAAAGAGGCTATTACTGAGGTCAAGAAAACGTGGTTCTATACATCCATTCCCACATACACCTCCATCGCTTGGTGCTTAATTACTTAAACACAAGGGACTTTACCTTTACCTTTAGTGGGCTTTTGATTGACCCACTCAGGCTGAAGAGACATACATTCCCCTGTCCGTTGGCCAGTGGGGAATCAGTACAGAGGAACAAACAGCCTGTACACAAATTATACATATAACTTACCCATACTGCAGTAGGAGGTATATATGCTCTCAGTTTTCCCACATGTATTCCTCTGTTAGCAGGATCACATGACTGCAATTTATGCACCACTGCTGTCTTGTTAGGCTTCAAATTCAGGAGTATTGTGGCATTTCGTGCTGAAGTTTTTGAAATCCCTGTCTCCTGTGCAATAAGCCTGAGGGATTTTTGAGGAAAATGTTCAAGTCTAGCACCAATTTCATCCAATTTCTCTTCAGTGAGTACTCGGCATTTTGATACAGTTCTCCTTTTGTCCAATAATGATCCTGTCTGTCTTACTTTGTTTACAATTGCATGAATAGTTTTTCTGTGTGGAATTGTAACATTCTTAAATTTATGGGCAAATCTTCTCCTTACTGTTCTTACGCAGCCACTCTTCACATAGGTATCATACATGAACAGTCGCTGTTCCAATGTGTATCTCACTCGCGGCATTTCGACATGGGAACAAACATATCTGAGTAAAGACTTATCACAGAGGTCAAGCGCAGCAGCGGGGTGTTGCAACTACAGTCAGCCGGTACAAAACATATGAACTTGCTTCACAGAAGCAGTTGACTGATCAGCCATTCCATGGCAAACCACCACACCTGAAAGCAAAATTCATGTCTCACAATCTCAAGACTGCTATAAAATTTGATATATTTACTGGTCCCACAGACTTTACTTGCCTAATTTTTTCTTAATTTTTGTCTAGTCGTCTTTTAAATGCAGAATGTTAAAAAAAATCACCATCACTAGGGAAAGAAAAGACATACCTGTGATGCTTTTATTTCATCATTTATAATAATACTGATCCTGTCATAATGTGGTAGTTGAGACGGCGTGAGAAGAGAGGCCAACGACGACCATAAGGTAAATATTGGGATGTTAATTAGTTTTAATTAATGTCAATTATTTTAATCAGGAAAAAACGCATTCACACGCGATGCGAAATATTGACATGCAGTGCAACAATTTTAGCATGATAGAAGACACCTGATGATGGCGGTATACAGCCGAATCATGTAATGTGACTATATAATAACTTGTATTTAAGACAGAAATATATGTGAAATAAACTATTATACTAATGCAAAAGAATGCCCAAGTACAATATTAGGAAAAGAAAACATTGGGTGCATCCGTTCTTGTGTGACAATTTAAACTGAAGAGCTTATATTGTTTTGAAAGAACTTTACCTGGATCCAGATTCCTTCGTCTCATTAGAAATCCTTACCCAAACCAAATCTATTTGGTCCTGCCTAGCATATTCTGAAGGGCGTTTGTCATATATACTAGGCTCTTGCTCCATTAACATCAGAAAAACAAAACAGCAAGTCCGTGCCACCTTGACAAACGAATCGCTGAAGCGCGTTGCAGAACAGTTGATACTAGGACACCACGCGGCAACGCAATTGTGAAAAAACTTGCATGCAAATTGAGTTTCTCAGTCTCTCCGCGAGTTGCGTTGCCGTTTCCTTAATTTATGCTGCCCCATTCATTAACATGTGTTCAACTCAGGCTGATAAGAATTCTCGGAAATCGCGGTTGCGTTGCGATTGCCAGTTTCCTTGGTGCGCCCTCGGGCTGAATCGAGCAAGAGCCTGGTATACCTGTATATGACAAATGCCACTCCTACTGTGCTAGGTGGGAGAAAATTATATTCGGCTTGAGAAAGAATTTTTCATGAGACGTAGGAGTCTGGATTCAGGTTAAGTTCATTCAAAACAATATATACACCGTAATTTAAATTGTCAAAAAAGAATGGATGCACACAATGTTTCCTTTTCCTAATATTGTATTTAAGCATCCTGTTGCATTAACATATCATTTATTTCGCGTACATTTCCGTTTTAAATGTAATGTATTACATAGTCACCCTTCTCCCACATTACATGGTTTGGCTGTATGTGGCCATCATCATGTGTCTTGTATCTTGCTAAATATTGTTGCACTGTATGTCAAAATTTGGTATCGCGTGTAAACTCGATATTTCATGATTAAAATAAATTGATCCTAATTAAAACAAATTAATTAACATCCCAGTATTTTCCTTCGGGTCGACGTCCTCTCTTCTCGCGCCGTCTCAACCGGTCTCAACTATCATCATATTCTGACAGAATCAGTATTATTATCTTCCATTGCAGAAGGCAAATGCATGAAATTAAAAAATAGTCATGCATTACATCAGATGAACATACCCACTTAAGATGATGTGAGCAACTAAACAAACATAGTTTCCTCAGTGTGCGCCAGCTAATCTGGAAACTCTCGCTAGTGGGGAAGGCCACAGTAGTAGCGAAGAAATGTTCCATCCCACCAATAACAGAGTTTAACGGGGCTGCTCAGTATGTTGCTGTCCACGTACGTGACGTGAAGCTGATCACTCACCACCAGCTAGTGCCGAGGTCAAGAAAATGTGGATCTATACATTCACTCCCCCATACGCCTTCATGTCATAGTGCTTAATTCGTTAAACACAGGAACTTGGCGACAAAAACATACAGCAAATCGCGTCAAAACAAAACATAGTAACTAAAGCATACAAAGAACAAACACGCATGACCAAACAAATACAGCAAAAACTAACACACGCCCACACAAAGTTCATAGACACAAGGAGTATAAATACGCGGCTCAACACGCCCTATAACCCCATATAACAGTATAATAACCATAATAACAGAGCGGCCTTCGACAGCTTACAGGACGACTTTAAAGGTAGGACGAAATAACAAAAGCTCTCATAAAAACAAAATAGGGTTTGCTGAAATAATACAATATACCCATAATATATTTGCAGAATCCACTTCTCATGAACTACAAGGCGGCAGCCGTTTGGCCCCCTTCAAGAGAAGAAATAATAAATAGGACATGAACCAACTTGGTTTATAATTTCCAACAAAAATCTTAAGGAACTAATTATAATATATTAAGACAGCCGCTGTGGTTGTTAAAAACAATAGGTTTTATATCCATTGTATTTTATCAATGTTATATGTATATATTTTAACCTTCAAAAACTTATTGTAATAGTGGCTTCCGATTGTATAGATGTCCCTCTGATAAAAGTCTGTAAAGACTGAAATATGTAAGGGAAGAAGGACTGAAATAAGAAAAATCTTTACTAGTCACACTGGACGGAATTGTTTAATCTCTTACGACAGGTACAACTCTACCTGTTTTTACCTTTACAGTTTACTAAAGCACACAGTCGTGTGTTCTCAGTCTATTACTTGACGTTTTCTGGTAACGGCTCCAGCAATGGCTATTCCTCTGCCTCCCACTCAAGTCCTCTCTTCACAGACTGACCCACAGATCTAACTAAACTCTGATTGATTGCTAAATTTGCCTCTGGTCCTCCCCAGCCTAGATTTTTCTTGGTTCTGAGTCCCATGGGACTCATGACCATATATTATCGTCTGATGGCTCTGGGAGCCTTCAGATCACTTTTGTATTTCTGACTACACTCTAACGTCCCTTGATTATAACATTTCAGCACGGACCACACAGGAAACAGCTCTTCTGTTGTGTTCATGTCTGTTGCTGTGGGAACATGTTTACCAAGCCATTACCCAGAAACGGCCCTGATATATCTGCTTTTAAATCTAGAGGAGCAGCAAACAGCACATTGTCATCATCATTATCATCATAGTTGTCAATTTCACCATCGCTGTCATCATCATCATCATCGTCATCACTCTCCTCGTCTTCTGTCTCATTGTCTTGTAAGTTGAAGATGACTAGCTCTGGAACTTCATTATGGCCTACTTCTATTTCATAATGATCTTCTGCAGTTTTACAACAAGGTGTGCACAAGGGACCCACTCCCTGTATCACCTTCTCACGTTCTTCGCTCACCTGTCTTTCCACATCTGAAATATTGAATGGTCTGTTCTTTTTATGCAACTTCCCATTTCACTTGAACCCACACGTCTGATGGGATTATATGGACAATGATGTGGGGAGAGACGTATGACTTATTGCACCTTTCATTTGTCAATTTGTCAGGTTCATACTGTTTCATATTATTCTTGAAAGGGAACCCTCACTGGAAAAGTTCAAATTTTGTTTCAGTGTGGGATATATAAATTCCCCTCTATTAGAGCCACATACTGATATCTGTTTTCTGTTGGAGTTGTTAGGTACTTTGTTTGTTATAGCCAAATGACAGTTCACATTATCCATAATTAGTACATTGTACTCCTCTAAGTAATTAATAAATCTGTTTGAGAAACAATCTTGAAGTATATGGATAGTCATTTCTTCATGGTAGTCATGAGTGGGTTTAGACTGGAGGACCCCCAAGCTCCCATGTACGAAACTCCTATTAACCGATTCTGTGTGGCAAATGATAAAGTGGGCCCCATTTCCTACAGGAACTTTTAACTTACCATTTTCAGTGAAATGTTGCCAGATATATTGTCATGTGTATGAGTGAATATAGACAGGTTTGGGATTGAACTCTTACAGATCGTAACCATGAGTACCTGTAGCACTATTGCTAATTTACACACTCCTCAGTTCACTACAGCACACGTGACGTCTTCTCAGTCTGCTGTCTTTTCACTAGTTGTTGCCTAGTAATGGCTTCCAACACCATAGATTCCTGAGCTCCCATATTTCACGTCCTTGTTCAGCGGCAAGTGACTCACAACTAACTCATTGCTTCAACTGATTAACTCCCACACTGGCAGCCATCTCACACCAACCTCCTATTTTCACAGCTCTCTCAAGACTTTTCCCAAATGACAGCTGGCCCTCATTATATAGCCTCGGCACAGGCCACACAGAGAACACCACTTCCAACAGCTCTTCTGTTGTGTGCATGTCTGTTGTGGCAATTACCTAGCAACGGCTATTGTTTACAGAGGCATTATTTAGCAGTGACTGTTGTATAGCTGCTTATTTTGCTGTCATTGCCTAACAACAGGTCTACATCCCACAATATTAAACTGTGTGATTCTGGTTTACCCAAGTTTCATCCAGGTAAAACACTGGTCAGCTATCACCAAATGTTGTTAGTTGGTGCATTGTTTGCAAGAACTTCAACCTTGCCACAACAAAGTCACCTTACTGTATGAGGAATTTAAGTCCAGCATGAGTTCTTTTGTACTGGAAGTCAGGATGCTTCACTAGCCTTGCAGTGGAGGAAACTGAACCTTTATACACTATTTTTTCCGTAAGGGAAAGTGTTGCTTTTTTTTTTTTTTGGTGGTAGGGAATTTGCTATCATCATAATATCCAAAAACATTTTTGCATAAAACATCTCTTTGGAAGTCATCTAGGTTTATCACTCTTTTTGGTATGTTTATTTGCTTTCTGGGTGACAGAAACAACTTCTTTGTACCTTTTCTTTTCCTGTCTTTGCCTCTCTGCATGCATGTGAAACAATCAACATACTTATGCAACATGATCTGGCTGTCAAGTTCTGGAATTTAGAGAACTCCAATCTCCTGCAGTATTCTTCAGATATTGTTTAAGAAATTATGCATATTAAAAACTATTTTGCAAACACTACTACCTTAACTACTGCAATGGCCATCGCCACTTGCACTCGGCTTAGTGAGTGTGAAGTTATATTCAGACAAATAATTGACATATACAGTAAACCCTCACTAATCCAACCACACTTAATTGGGATAGAAATTTGAAAAATGAAAATTCTGTTTACATTTGAGTAAAGAAGGTAAATTTGTCACTGTACTTAACTGATTAAGCACTGTGCCATGAAGGCATATGGGTGAATGATTGTATGATGGGAAGTCATAATGCTTTAATCATCACCATGAGAAAATCATAATTCCAAAATATCATTCTATATAGGAGGTAGCCCATTTCCTGAGCTTGCCGAGTGGTCAAATTCACCTGCCCCAAGTGGACAGAGGAAGCCACCAGAAGAGGCAGAAGCAAAATGGTGATGTCCGTTGAGAAAATGTAGGCTGGTGCTTTGATATGGCTCCTGCATTTGCAAAGGAAGTCTGCCAACAAAATCCATGACAAGATGACCACTGTGTATCAGGAAGGTGTACCATGATATGACAGTAGTCAGGTGGAAGAGGTGCTTTCATTGTGGACAGACAAACCTCGAAGATGAACCCTGAAGTGGAAGACCATCTCTCTCTCTGAGGTACCGGGAAGTGTGGCACAGGTGGAAAGCTCTGATCCTATCCGATAGGTGCACAACTATCAAAGCTACTGTTCATGAGGTCTGCATTAGCCATGGGTCGGTTTTCAGTGTCATCCATGACGAGTTACACGTGACAAAGGTCACTGTGTGTTGGGTGCCACGATTGTTGATACCAGTTCAAAAACAGAAACGGATGGCTGTGACAAAGAAACTTTTTCAGTTGTGTTAAGACGAAAAGTGGGAATG